GGCCATGGCTGAAAGCACAGGGGGCCCTCAAGGCGGTGCTTGAGGGCCCCGAGTCGCCGAACGAGCGCCCAAAGGCGCCCAAAAGATGGCCCCAAGATGGCGCAAAGAGGCTCCCAAGGCGCCCCAGGAGGCCTCCAAGAGGCCTCCCGAGAGGGCCCCCACAGCCACAGATCATGGATGCTCTGTGCGCTGTGGAGAGAGTTTGGCGGTCTCGCCTTCTCTGCTTCCCGACGCTTCAGGACGGCCCAAGAGCCCCCCAAGGCCACCCCAAAACGGCCAAGGAGGTCTCCGGGAGGGCCCCAAGACGGCCCAAGAGCGCCCCAAGACGGCCCAAGCCCAAGACGGCCCCAGAGGGTCCCGAGGCGGCCCCCAACGGGGAGGGGACACGCACCCCAAATCCGAGCCTTCCGCCCCAAGAGGCCCCCAGGATGCCCCTAAGCGGCGCCCAAGAGGCCCCAAGAGGCCCCAAGAGGCCCCCAAGAGGCACCCAAGAGGCCTCCAAAAGGCCCCCAAACGGTGCTTCAGAAGCTTCAAACTGCCTCCAAAAGGCCCCCGAGAGGCCTCCCACGAGACTCCAACGAACATCAAGACTTCCAACCCGCAACCCAGGCAGGGTGGCGGGCCTTGCCGTAGGGTAGGCCGCTGGCTTCCTCGTCAGTGCGTGTCTCCCTGGCCCTCAGTCTGGCTGGGGGAGCCGCAACCTCGGCGATCGGTCTCGCTCGCGCGGCCGGCGAGGGTCAAGCATCTGACGAGCGTGAGAGGCCAAAGTTTTGCAGCAGGCATGTCCAAGGACCTCTATCCACAGTCATTATCTGCTTGCTTGAAGCTGGCTGGACTCCAGTATCGCCAGTGGAGTGGGACGTGCCGAATGATGGTGCTCAAGCTGGTTTCTCCTGAAGTTTGGGAGGGACGAGTTCTCGAGCCTTGACCAGGCGACCGCACTCTCAGACGAGCTGCAGTCTACGATGGAGCAAAGCGATGGCGTCAAGCCGCAGAGCTGTACAGTGGTGCAGGGCTGGAGAACGGAGCCGAGCAATCTTACAGGAAGTTCTAGGCTTAAGTCGGGCCTGTCCCCCCACAAGGGGGATTTTGGACGAAAGATACAAAATACCCCAAAAATACTCAAAAGATCCCAAACATACTCAAAAAATAGTCCCCAGACTATTTTTTGACTATTTCTGAATGTTCCCCCTGTAGAGGGACAGGCCCGACTAAATTCTAGGCGGATCTACCCAGGCCAAAATGGGCCGTAGATGATCAGCGCCAATGGTTTCGATAGCGACAGGCGGCTTCTGGACCAAAACCAGCAACCAAGATGCGCAATTGAACTCGGACGTCATCTGTGAATGATGCAAAGAGTGGCGCGAAACGGAACTGCACCGATGTTGGACTCTGCTAAGCACGAGATGTCGCCAACACATGATCACTCAACGTCTTTACTTCCTCGGACTGTCGCCAACTCTGAGGCCTGCCCGCGCGTTTTGAAGGGAACAACAAATGGCATAAACATAACAACTCCGAGGTCTGCGCGGATTTCTCGGATCGGCGCCGGGGCCCCCCGGCGGCGCCTCCGGCGCCGCCCCTGGCGCGCTCCGCGCGCCAGGGAGGGGGATCCAGCGCCGATCCGAGAACTCCGCGCGGACCTCCGAGTTGTTATGTTCGTGCCACTTTTTGTTCCCCAAGGAAGGGGGGTTCACGCCCGTGGCGATCTTCTCTGGGCGTCGACCCCTGGGGCTTCGACCACTTCCCCGGGGCCAAGCTCTCATATCTGCACGTGGCCATCGCTCGGGCGTCAACTCCCTGTATTTTTTTCTCGGCTTCGCGCGTGTTGTTTATTATTATTCCCAGCCAGCCCCATCCCAGCCCCTCGGACTGCGGTCGCGCACCCCCCCCTTCTCCGAGTCCTGGGCCGCGAGCGGCCGCTCCGCGGAGGCCTGCCGGGGCCCGCCCGCCTCGGGGATTGGGGCCCATGGCGAGTCTCTGGCGGTCTTCGGGGACCTGTGGGGACTGTTGCTGCAAGAGCGGGGTTCGGGTCAGCTGGGTGTATTTCGTGGGAAGACGCCTTCTGGAAGACGCACGACCCTGCAAATTCATGTCGTTCGGGGTCCTCCGCGTGGCCACCATGCGGGCGCATCGGGTGGAGCGGACGCCCCCGACTGTAGGCTTCGCAAGGTAGGTTTGGCCACTGCTTGCTTTAACCGGCCACCTACCCAACCACCCCAGCCCAACCCGAAGGCCCCAATTCGTCCTGCAGTTCCAGTGGTGGGGGGTGGGTCGGGGAGCATTGAAAAAACACGTATGGAGCCCATACACCCCCCAACTCGAAATGCGGGTCT